AACGTACGTACGTTAACGTAACGGAACCCGTAACGTTAAATTTAAGGTAAGTAAGGTACGTTAGTAAGTGTAGTAGTATAGTATATATATATATATATATATATATATATATATATATATATATATATATAGAAAACGTTTATATAAGATGCACCTCAAAAAACTAGTAGAAACAGTGTTCCGAAGTTGGAAAACCTTCCAATTGATCATCTCAACCTTGAGATGTATGGGTACAAAAATAAAGAACTTTTGAGTTCTATAAATAGTGCATCTTGCAACATATCCATATAATGAGTATAGTTGTGATGGCAATGTTGAGATAGATGAGTAGCAAGACAAAAAAAGATAGAATTCAGAAATGAATACATCCAAGGGAACCTAGTTGTGGCCCCAGTAGACAACAAGATGAGGAAAATAGACTTAAAGTGGCCTAGACATGTACAGCGTTGACCTAGTACGATAATGGGAGGAGGGGTGATCTGGTTCAAGTAGAAAGCTCTGAAAGCATAGTTACCGAGAACGAGGACGTGAGAATAACCGAGAACGAGAATGGGAGCACAAAGCGAGTCAAGCTCAAAGTTCCCTGGACGACAGAGTGAGCTCCGTACATGGCCTGGGGATGGGAGCGAGTTCCATTACTCCTAAGGAGCACATTGCTATCTGAACGCGAGCGGTTTCCCTACTAAAAGGGATCGCGTTGTGTCGTTCTTAGGATCGGGGTTTACGGAGTTCTCTATTTTTGTATATTGTAAATTGGGAGCGAGTTCCATTTAGATAAGCATGTTTAACTCTTTCCAAATCCACAGTTCCAAGGTATCAATGTAATAAAAAATTATGGCATTGAGATTGCCTTTGAATTGTTGATGTCATTGTAGCATGGTTTCATACCAAATTCAGCAAACAACAGTATTGGGGTGCATTGGAGCATGATTTCATACCGAATTCAGTGAAAAACCTTATTGTGATGCATTGGAGCATGATGTCACACCAAATTCAGTAAACAATATTATTGTGGTATACAGTGCACCACTACACCTTACCTTAATTATACAATACCCTTCTCTAAACTGGCACTCGATGCTAGGCAAGATTTAACCTTCTCAAGACTATACTATTGACACTCAAGGATGGGCTAGATTTCCCATTTCGACTAAGTCGATTGAGCCCATGTATTGTGCTCATGCACGAGCACATTGTGCATTACTCCCTTAGTCTTTTGACTCAAAACACCACATTAGGTTGATTGTTTTAGGCTCAAATTTTGGGAACTATATAGCAATTGCTAGATGATTTTTTTTTTTAAGAAGATTTTGAAATTTGAGTTTTGTGACACAAAGATCAATGAAGTCTATTCATCGTGACCTCACTTCACAATGAAATTCCAACGCGGCTAACTTTTGAACCTCCTTCCAATCTTGTCCCTACTTTAGTTGCCTTTCTTTAAATATGGACACAAGTGTCATTGCAAACTGTGTGCGCCGTACAAAATTTGACGAAAACTGAATACTATATACGAATAAAATTAACTTTGTAGGTGTAGCTTGCTCCCATGGTATAGAATACTCAGTTCCTAGTGTGATGGAATCGTGGTTCCGAATAATATTGGAGCCATGATCTTGGGCATGCGGATCTGGATCCCACTTGCTAGGGAACTCGTTCCCAAATAGCATCGAGCACCCCTAACCCCGACTACAAGATCCAAATATGCAAGAAAGCATCTGGAATCGAGATTTGGTCACTCGAAGCACAGGATCGAGATTCCGGGGCGGAAGCAGGCCCCAACATGGGTACTCCCGGTAACTATGTCTGAACGGGCAAGGGAAAGGCCTAAAAGGGCATGGATGGAAGTAGTGGGACGGGATATGGTCACGTATGGTCTGACCGAAGGTATGGCCCTTGATAGAATGGAATAGCAGAAAAGGATTCATATAGACGACCCCAAATAGTTGGGATAAGGCTTGGATGATGATGATGATGATCTGTGTGTATGGTACGTGTGTATTTGTGTGTCCATTGCATTCCTCATGAGAACTATTAAATATATGGACTTGTAAGTTGCTTGTTATCACAAGAAACATCATTAAAAATTCATAAATTCCATAAGGGAATCATAAGGAATGCAATGGAAATAGTTCAAGTCAAAAGCTAAGAAGGAAACGAATGCCACAAATTTTAGGTATAATAAAAACTTGAATTTCTACTAAATTCCAAAGTTTATCAAGGTGCTCTTGAAAATGACTAACAAATTTGAATTCACCCATTTCCCAAAGCAAGCCCTTTTGGGACATTCAATTTTAATATATATATTTCCTGAATAATTCATAAATTTCCATTGTCATCCTCAGTGTTTTATATTTCTTCTCTGGCAAGTTGGCCGTAATTGTGGCTAGCTCTCTTCATTGGGGTAATTACTTTTTTGGCAATGGAGCAGCACAGAATGGTGTTTAGCCTTCTCAAACTAATTTTCTATGTCATTATCCTACATTTGTTTCCTTTTCTTATTGATTAGCTCCTTTCCAACTGTTCTTTCTCGAAGTCACTACTTTTTATTACCCCTTTCCTTTTGGTTGAGATAAGTACTCCATGAGATAGATGGATCAAACAGAATTTATTGTCTTTTGGTTTAATGATATTATAGACTCAAAAGAGAAAAGTATGAATCTGCAGCATTGCCTATCTAATAGTGAGACAGGTTCTAGTTCTTTAAAATAATTAACTGATTAGTGCTGACACTAACTTTCTCAGCATTTTGTGCAAATTGAAGATTGAACTAGCAAATACTAATTAGTTAGCAATGAATATCTTAATGTCATTCTGATATACAACAATCTCCCTCGTCATCTAGGCAGCTCTTAGCAACTGCAATTGCAAACAAACTATAATCCTAGGATGTTATAGATCTTATTCAGCTTGTTGAAAGTTATTGGAAAGGTCCACTTGATGATGCTGGCGGACCTTTGAAGTATGCATCTCTAAATGAAAATGCCACGCTGATGAAAGATTAAAATGTATATAACAAAAAGGCATCATATATCAGAAATATGTAAGACTTTGTTTTAACTTTCGCAAGATCTGAGGTTCCTATATTAGAACATTACCTTCTCTCCAGTTTGGACACTCCTACAAGTCTGCAACTACGATCATGGGTGGGCTTAATCCATGAATTATGGGAAAACAAGGTTAATAAATGGGTAGCAATTTTGTCGGTACTTCATACAAGCGGGAGAGAGAAGAAATAAGGCTTATTCATTAGTGGCTGGATAGCACCACTTCAATAAATATTGCTACAAAGTATTTGGGAATTAGTTAATCTTAGTATGGGACTTCCTCATGAAGAAATGAGACTTGATCTTTAGATTCTACTATTTTTTCATTATTTTATTCATCTAGACCACTTTTTCCCTCGGAGCACCGAACATGTAAAGATTACCCTTCAAAGCTTCAACACTTGGTGTCATGCATGATTAGGATCAACAACATGAAACACCTTAAAACTTTTCATGAACTTCTTCACATAATGCAAAGGCTTAATCAAAAGATCCTTGAACAATCATTTTTGGGCACCAAAAATGTCTAAAATGAGGCAAAACTTACCTTTTCAATAGCAACATCATCTGGTATAACCACATGGCATTTACACCCATAAGCGGGAGCCACCATAGCAAGGCTTATAGCAGTACTCCCAGCACTTCCCTCAAACACAATACCACCTTTGACAAGGTCCCCAGACTCCAAAGCCTACATAAAACCTAAAAAAAGTTAAATGAATTAAATAGAGCAAACAGCAATAACCAAAACCAATAGCAACTACAGGGAGTCCTATAACAATGCAAGTTAGTTTCTACATCTCTAATTTTAAGAGAACAATGTTGCAATACAGTCTATCTAATTTCATGAAAAGGCATTTTTCACATATAATATATGGCAGTGACACACAGACATGACAGAAACCATCCCCTTCAAAATACATCTACTCTATCTACAAACAGTAGCATCCAGCGTTCGAAGAGTCGGATGTGCCTGCCTACGTGGTTTGGGGGTCTGACCACCTAGGCAAGCGCCCCGGAACAAGGACAAGCTAGGCCCCCAAGAAGTTCTCAGGGTAGGGGTTTAAGCCCGTAGGGTTCTTAGAGCAGTTTTAGGGCCCCAAAACCCCTGAAAATAAAAATAAATAAATAATTACAGAGACACAGACATCATCAAATGGCAACAAATTAATCACATAATATCACACAACCGTAACATAATATCCCTAAGATTTAGTTTTGCCATCCAAATATCTGCAAAATATTAATTTAATTCGAAGTTCCAAACTATTCACAAAATATAAGCCCAAAACGGCAAATAAATACAAAATATTCGAACTAAAAACATTAAAAAAATATCAAAAAAGAAAAAAGTGCTATCAAATCATAACACATTATACAAAAAAAACTAATTCAAATATTGTAAATCACTAAGCTTTTCAAAAAAAAATTGATATAGGTCCAAACCAAGAAATACTCACAAAATATTTCAAGTTTTCAACTATAAACATATAAAAATATCACAAAAGAAAAAAATAAAAGAATATCAAATCATAAGACGTTATACCAAAAAAAAAAATTTACCGAACCCTAATTCAAATATTGCAATGCACTAACCTTTACAAACCAATATTGGCCCGAACCAATGATCTTTGGTTGCCAAAAGTGCTCTTTTACGACCACTCCAACCTCCAAAAGGTATCCGGAAGTATGTCTTTTGATTTCGCAAGATATCGAAAATGTTGAAAAATATTTCGATCTTGAGAAAAATCTCAAAACCTAAGTATTTTGGAGAGTTTTCTCTCTCTAGAGTACATTAAAGGGGTTTTGGGGAACTAGAATGTTCACCAAATCATCCCCCCCCCCCCCCTTCTCGGACTCCAAACTACCCTACGACTGAGGCCTATTCCTACCCTTCGACTTGCCTGCATCAAGCCTAGAAGCCACCTAGGCGTGTGTCCTTCCAGCTG